GCGACTGTGTGAGGGTGCAGTGCGATCGCGACAACCGTGTGCAAGTGTACCTCGTTTTCATTTTGAAAACTTTAGGCAAGCTTGGCAAAAAAGTGTGGCGAAGTATGGCAATGCAAGACCTAGACCCAAACATGATACAAGTACGTACGTAGGAGTACTACTTGTGTTAAAAAAGAAAGGTGGGGTTTTCCTTTGTGGGATTGATTGATACAAATCCTCGTTTGACATGTCAATTAATGCGTATTTTTTCTCCAACACCCAAAGAGCTAACCATCTCACTCCACATCACTTGATTAATGCAACGTCATGCAAACCAACCTTCTCATTTCGCATGCATGCAAGGGTATATTAATGTCCTTGGTTGCTAGTACGAGGCAAGCCCCATCAATTTTGCCTCGATTAGTGTTAGTGGACTTCTGCAAATTGTAAGCTTGATATACTGGCCTTGTGTACAAAAAAATGGAGGTAGTAACTATTTGACTTCCTTCCCCATTGCGGTGACGTTGATGATATCTCGAATGTTGTGGTTTGGCGAAGTGCATTCGACGGAGAACACCATTGAGGGAGACCATGGTAAGTCATTGGCAAGTGCCGCCTGCAAGCTGAGACAACCGCCTTATTTGCATCCAGGAAGTCCGTTGAACCAAAGGACACATAAATGTACTAGTATTACACAATAGCATCGTCCGTCCAGCTTAGTGCGATAAGGTGGTTTCTCGAAGAAGACGATGGAGAAGTGGAGTCAGCAAAGAGTGAAATGATGGTTGCTTCATACGTGCTTTTTGTGATTTGACGCCTCACTGCTTTCTGATTTGTGATAGAAGGGACTGGGGAGTAGACTCTGCGCTCTATACTGTACATGCGTCCAAGCACGGGAGAAAGAGGATAGAGGTTGCATTTTTCTATTCCTTCAATCAATCAATTAGGGAGCTCCGATTCCATCTTTTTGGCTTTGGCAGCAACATCCACAATGGTTCCCATCGATGCCAAAAGCTATTTTCACATTTGGCTACACATTGTGGATGCCCTTAACCATACCACTTGGTTTTGCTCCTGTGTGCTATCTATACAAATCTTGATTATATTGATCTAAACAATTTTAGTATCAAGATTAGTAAAAAGGAGGTGATTCTGCCGTGTGGATGATAGGGGAGGTTTCTTATTTTTAGAGGACATTGGCCTGGCGATTTGCTAACATGAGGACCCATGTGTCAGTGCTTTACCAAGCCGATCCGCGCCCCACATGAGGCAGAACAACGGCAGATGCAACACGTGGTTAACTTGAAGAAGATGAGGGAGAAGTGGATTCATCAACGAGTGCAATGATGGTTGCTTTGTCCCTCCAACTTCTTTTTTAGCTTTATTACTTCATCCCTGCAACTTAACTGCGGGAAAGGTGCAGCTTTGTGATTTGACGCCTCATTGCTCATTACTACGCCGGTGCCATGACTGGGGTGCTTCACCCCTGCTGCTCTGCACTGTTATTTCGATATGGCACGTGGACCCTGTTGCTTGATGTCCCACATGTCGGCAAAAGGGACCAGAAAATTTATGAAAGCGAGCGCTCCACTCTTACGACGGAGGAGTACATGACACGGCGGCCCAGTGAACTATTACTTGTACTGTAATACTACTATAGTTTTGCTGTTTCGCATGATCCATCGATACAAAACCGATTAAACAGACAAGGGTGGGATTTTTCCTGCGTGGTAGATGATACTAGCCATACATTTCAAAGGAAATTTTAATGTATGCAAACTGAATAATTAGGTAACAATATGAGATTTAGTAAAACAAAAAACATATATGATTTATTGTGTTAGAGTGTAGTAGTGGTGCTGTATTGCATAGTTGTTAGATGTAACATGCGAGAACTGTAGAGATGTACTTTTGGAGGGCCTACAGAGAGAAATTGGGAATAAAGTGGATTCAAATATTTGTATTCATCTTCATAGAATTTGTAACTCATATCTACAGTCTGTACAGTAGACGTGAATGCTTGTTCGCTCTTACGAAACCAGTACATCAATAATGGGGTGGCGTGCGCCAATTTAGGCACTAGCACGTTGGCCTACTCGGCTCCATAGAGAGAGCGAGAGAGGAGATAAATACACGGGCGTTCAGTGTATTTCAAGTGAAAAGCGTAATACGGTCACCGGACTTCAGAATACGCTCATTACGGTCAGGCCCGTCGTTGGAGGTGGCCAAGGTGGGCGACCGCACAGGGCCCCCAAAAATTGGGCCCCCAAATGACTAGGTATTAGTAGTATTATGTATACAGATTTAATGACACTTTGCCATTAATCCAGCGGCAAGGCCTAAGCAGCATGCACAGCAACAAAAAATCCAGCCCATGAGGCCCGCTAACTGCTTATTCCCGTATCCATTGAGTGTTCCTGATCCCATTGATCGCTAACACGCCGCCGGTTCGCCTGCTTCCGCCACGAGCAGACGTCATCTCGTTTGCTGCGGTCCTGCCTTCCGCCAATCGCCCGCCTGCTGATTCCGCTAGTCGCCCTGGATGTCGTCTGCTGCTGCCCTTTCAAGGTTCCGCCAGTCGCTCGCCTGGAAAGTCGCCCGCTTCTGCCTTCCGCGTCCGCGGTTCCGTCATCGGTGATCGACCAGGCTGCCATTAGGTATACTTAATTTTTATCCCTGTACATGGTAAATTTCAAATTTTGATCTCCCTGACCTAGGTTAATAGCAGGCCCTAGTTTGGAGTAACGAGTAGGATCAGTTTGTTGTTGATAAGTTGTACATATCTTTATATTTTTATTGACACTAATTGGGAAATTTCATGTTTGAATAATAAATCATTAAATTTCTTTGGTTTATAAAACAGGAGGCATTTATTTCTGAATCATCATGTCTTCCAGAACATATGATTCTGGTTGTAAAAAGCGTAAGAAGAAGCAAAATCAAGAAGCAGAAGCGCAACGTCTAAAGGGTTCTTGACAGTTTTGTCGTGAAAGAACCTCGATTAAATTCTGACGCCCAGACTCCCAATGATAATGTTGGTGATCGTCATGGTGATGATGCTAACATTGTAGTTAAGACAGAGGCTATCACTGTAAATGAAGATGATGATGCTAATATTGCAGATGGAGGTGATAATGTTAATATTGGTGCTGAAGGTGATGCTATTAGTACTGCCATTGAAGGTGATGATGACAGCAACAATTATTTTACGCCTGATATATTTGATCCAAGAAACTGGTATGCACTTGATGCTAAAATGATTGATATTTTGCTACAAAAGGGTCCTAAAAGAGACTGGTATATTGAGCATGATGATGTAGACAAATTCGGTAGAAGGTTTTCTGCATTGTCATACACTAGAGTTCTCTCAAATGGAGAAAAATGTAACAGAGAATGGCTTGTATACAACAAAGATCTTGGCAAAGTATTTTGTTTCTGCTGCAAATTATTAAGAAAGGGGCATGTGAGAGGTCATTTAGCACATGATGGTTTCAATGACTCGCATCATCTTCTCACTAGACTTAAAGAGCATGAAACTAGTAGAGAACATGTCACAAATATGGCTACATGGTATGACTTGCGCCTTAGGTTTCAGAAGAACCAAACGATTGATAAAGTTGCTCAGCGAGAACTTGAAAAAGAAAAGGAGCACAGGAGAAAAGTTTTACTCAGAATTTTGTTCATTGTAAAATTTCTTGAAGAACGCAACATAGCATTCCGGGGAAGTAATTGCAAGTTGTACCAAGAGAGCAATGGAAATTTCTTAGGAATGGTTCAGATGTTGGATGAATTTGACCCAATTATGAAGGAGCATGTTGACCGCATCACCAATGATAAATCCGTGATCATTATCTTGGTCCTTCCATCCAGAATGAGTTAATAAGTTTGCTCGCTGCTGCAATCAAGTCGGAAATCATTTGAAAGGTAAAAGAAGCCAAGTACTTCTCAGTTATACTTGACTATACTCCTGATGCAAGCCCCCAAGAACAAATGTATTTGATAATTAGGTATGTTGATGCATCTTCAGATTTGTTTTGCATAGAAGAGTCCTTCTTAGGCTTTTTGGATGCGAATGACACCACCGGGCAAGGACTGTTTGATGCTCTACAAAAGGAATTAAAGAGTCTTGACCTTGATGTGGACATTGTGAGAGGACAGGGATATGACAATGGGTCAAATATGAAAGGAAGAAACAAAGGGGTACAGAACAAAGTTTTGGAAATAAATCGAAGAGCTTTTTATTCAGCTTGCGGTTGTCACAGTCTGAATTTGGCATTGTGTGATATGGCAAAGTCTTGTCATAAAGCAACCGATTTTTTGGAGTTATTCAGCGCATCTATACCATATTTGCTAATTCTACTAAGAGATGGCAAATTCTCAAAGCTAACATACCAGGACTGACTGTAAAGTCATTGTCATCTACACGATGGGAGAGTCGTATTGATAGTGTTCATGCTATAAGGTTTCAGATACCAGAAATCAGGGAAGCTTTACTACAAGTGGCAGAAAGTGATAAAGATTCAGCCATACAAAGTGAAGCTCAATCATTGGCGGAAAATGAACTTGGTGGTTTTGATTTTTTAGTGTCAATAATCATCTGGTACGAGATATTATCTACTATTAATTTGATCAGCAAATAGTTACAGTCAAAGGATATGCTTATTGATGTTGCAATTGAGTCTGTGAAGGGTTTGATTTCCTTTTTCACTAAGTATAGAAAAACTGGCTTTTCGAAAGCATTGGAAAGTGCAAAAAAAATTGCATTGGAGAGGGAAATTCAACCAGAGTTCCACACTAAGCGTAAAATCAAAAGGAAAAGACAATTTGATGAGGGTGCAGATGATGCATTTATTGATTCACAATCTCCAGAGGAGTCATTTAGGGTCAACTATTTTCTTTGTGTTGTTGATCAAGCCATAACTTCACTTAACATTAGATTTGAACAATATCAGGGGTACGAAAAGGTATTTGGTTTCCTGTTTACTTCAGATAGGTTGTGATCAATTGATGACAAGAGTTTGATGGCTGCTTGCATTAATCTTGAAGAGGCACTTAAGAGCGGAGAGCACACAGATATTGATGGAGCTGAATTGTGTTGCGAGCTAATTTTCGTACAGGATTCACTTCAAAAATCTATGGGCCCTCTTGATATTCTGAATTATTTGAAGAACCGCTCCTTAATCTATCCTAATGCTGTTATTGCATACATAATTTTGTTGACCATTCCTGTGACAGTTGCATCCGCAGAAAGGAGCTTTCCTAAACTCAAGTTGTTGAAGTCCTACTTGTGTTCTACTATGACACAAGAAAGACTCACTGGGTTGGCGACAATAGCACCTGAAAATGATGTCCTAGAAAAGATTAAGTATGAAGATATGATTGAAGATTTCATTTCAAGGAATACTAGATGAATGTTGACTTTCGGCAGGACATGAGGTTAGTTTATAGCTTTAATATCCGTTTAGTATTTTTTTAGCATTAGTATTTGATATATGTCTAAATATTATGCAAAAGAAATCAGACTGGATTTGTGAAATAAATGGAGGGTATGAATGATCTATATTAGTTCTTTTGTCATATGACTCTTTTTGAAGTTTTGGGCCCAATTTTTATTTTCGCCCCGGGGACCCGAATTTCTGGAGACTGCCCTGATTACGGTCACTATATACGTTTTTCGGTGATTATAAGGTCACTTGCTGACCGTTCATCATCAGATTGCACTCTGTTGGCTGACCAAATAGTCTGCGTAGCACTACGTTGACTAGTTAATTTGACCATGTTCCTTGTGGATCCCACCTGTCAGTTTGCATAGTAAAAAGGTCAGGTAAACACAAATTTATGCAGGCACGACAAGACTCCAACCTATGCGTGGGAACCACCTGGTTGTGTATGTGTCTGTCAGGGCCTGATGTGTGCGCATGCACGTGTAGGTTGAGTACTTGAGCGTGAGAGTGTGTGTTGGTTGTGTGGTGTGTGCATGCATGCATGCGTGTGTGTGTGCATGTGAGTGTTGCATGTGTGCGTGGTTGTGTGTGTAAGTGTGAGTGTTGCGTGCGTGCGTGGCTTCGTGTGTTTGTGTGAGTGTTGCGTGCATGCAGTAGTGTGCATTTGTGCGTGTGTGTATAATTGTCAGTGTCAAAACCGGAGGATCTCGGGTAGGGGGTCCCGAACTGTGCGTCTAAGGTCGATGGTAACAGGAGGCGGGGGGCACGATGTTTAACCAGGTTCGGGCCCTCTCTATGGAGGTAATACCCTACTTCCTTTTTGATTGATCTTGATGATATGAGTATTACAAGAGTTGATTTACCACGAGATCGTAATGGCTAAACCCTAGAAGCTAGCCTATGATTATGATTTGTTGTTATGATCTATCGACTAGCCTAGCCCTGGTTTATATAATGCACCAAAGGCCCAGGATAACAAGAGTCCTAGCCGAATACGCCGTTGGGGAGGAGTCCTTGTCTTGATCACCAAGCCTTGTGGAATCTTCCTTGTGTATACTTTGGCTGTCCGAACTGGCCCATGTGTATACGGCCATGGGGGTCCTCCGCCTAATCTAACTGATTGGGAGACGACATGGTGAGTACCCCCTAGTCCAGGACACCATCAACAATCACCACACTAGCTCCTGTGTGTTAAAACAGACGGCTCAACATACCAATACAAGGACACCTTGTCCGCTGTGCCCGCGGTCATGACTTCAAACCACCATCCAATATTTTTTTTATCATTTGTTTTCATTCTTATACACCCCGACAGGTGGGCCCAATGGTAGTATATAATGTGACGCAACACTAGTGGTGCGACCTAGAGCATTTAACTGGTCAACTAGTCGTGTCTTGAGCAAATACAGAGTTGTACGGTGAGCCCGTGACTGTATAATAACTACAAAACATAAATGGTGACCGTAATGAGTGGATTCTGAAGTCAAGTGTACGTATCGTGCTTTCGCTTCGAATACAATGATTGTCACTGTATATATCGCGAGAGAAAGATGAAACATGCATGAATGTGCTGGGCGTACTTTTAGAGGACCTGGAGATAGTATGTGTGCGTACGTGAAAGGGGCGTAGAGGGGGTGTATGCAATGGAGAGAGAGAGAGATGCTCTTCGTTTCTCTTTATTATGAGTAACTTTATAGATAGTATAAAAATATAAAAATTCACAGTGCGAATAAAATATCATTGGGGGCACCATGTAATGCAAATTAACGTTCATACTCCTCCATATAACTTTGTAATGTTGTATGTATGTAGAAATTCTAAAATAACTTTTTGGCCACACTTTGTGTGGTTTTATTCAAAAGAAATGTTGTATGCGAAATAAACGTGAAGAGAGGGATTTTTAGATCAATGGGGTATGTGATGTAACACATGTGTGAATGTGTAGTTGATGTATTTGGCAGGGTCTAGAGAGGTATGTGTATGTATTACGTATTCGAGAGAGGCATGGATAGAGGGGCTGACGGGGGGCTGTGGGAGGGATAGCACAAGAAATGAGAGAGGTTTAGAGAGAGAGAGAGATGAATAAGATGTCACGACGAGAGATGCCCATGAGTGTGTATATGCAAGGGGGGGGGGATAGAGGCACAAGGAGAAAATATTTTGTGTGGTGTCTATGTTGGTATGTGTGGGTGTGAGAATATAACGAGACCTAGGGGCAGAGGGTGTGTCACTGTGTGAGGTCCGGAGGGCCGAGCTGAGGCCCTTGGTTTGGTTCCGTCCTATGCCACATTGTTCGGCCCGTGACGCATTTACGGAGAACCACGGAGGACTAGTCATAGAAGACAAAGATAGCAGAGTCGTGAAGGACTCTATGTCCACTGACAAAGCCGCTAGGATTTTTAACCCTAGGTCGTCGGACTAAGGTAACCCCTTATCTCTGATATTACTATTCATCCAACATAACTTTAAGGGGCATCCTACAGAATGCTCTGCTAGAATCATACTCGTCAATTAGGAAGAGAGGTGGAGACAATGCGTGAGAGACATGCCTAAAGATAATGTGCGTGTGGGAGACACGTAGGCAGGTCTCTGTATATAGAAAGGGTCGATGGGGATTGTGCGTGTGTAGGCTTGTGAGAGGTAGAGTGCTTGTGATAAAGGTCAGTGAAAACATTCTTAAATGGTTACAAGAGGGAGGGAGGGTTATATCGAGAGCATGTCTGCGAGAAAGACACATCGGGAGAGAGTGTGTGGGCATGTGTGAGAGAGCACCGATGGATTTACACCGTGTGCATGTATGTGTGAGAGGGAAAGTCAGCGTGTGTGTGAGGAGGGGGCTATGGAGAGTGAAACTACAGGTAAGAATGATGTACACATTTATTAAAAAATAAATTATATCCAAATATTACGATGGGATCATGGTATTTGCAATTCACTTAAGGAACAGTAATTGATCCATCAGACATCGATATTCTATCAAATTTGAGCATGTCTATGTTATTATTCGACATAATTGATCCACAGAGTTAGTATTTTTAACTTCAAATACAATATGTCGATGTATGTCTCGCATGTGCTTATCTGTGGTGACAATGGGATATTCACGTGATCTACTTGATTACGTTTTGGTGATCAACTTGCGGGTTTAGTGACCTTGTGAACTATGCATAGGGGTTGGCACATGTTTTCGTCCTGACTCTTCGGTGGAAACTCTGGGGCACTCTTTGAAGTACTTTGTGTTGGTTGAATAGATGAATCTGAGACTGTGTGATGCATATCGTATAATCATGCCCACGGATACTTGAGGTGACATTGGAGTATCTAGGTGACATTAGGGTATTGGTTGATTTGTGTCTTAAGGTGTTATTCTAGTACGAACTCTATGATAGATCGAATAGATAGAATAGCTTCATGTTATTTTACTACGAACTCTTGAATAGATCGATCACAAAGGATAACTTGAAGGTGGTTTCGTACCCTACAATAATCTCTTTGTTTGTTCTCTGCTATTAGTGACTTTGGAGTGACTCTTTGTTGCATGTTAAGGGATAGTTATATGATCCAGTTATGTTATTATTGTTGAGAGAACTTGCACTAGTGAAAGTATGAACCCTAGTCCTTGTTTCCTAGCATTGCAATACCGTTTACGCTCACTTTTATGATTAGTTACCTTTCTGTTTTTATATTTTCAGATTACAAAAACCTATATCTACCATCCATATTGCACCTGTATCACCATCTCTTCGCCGAACTAGTGCACCTATACAATTTACCATTGTATTGGGTGTGTTGGGGACACAAGAGGCTCTTTGTTATTTGGTTGCAGGGTTGTTTGAGAGAGACCATCTTCATCCTACATCTCCCACGAAGTGCTAAACCTTAGGTCATCCACTTGAGGGAAATTTGCTACTGTCCTACAAACCTCGGCACTTGGAGGCCCAACAACGTCTACAAGAAGAAGGTTGCGTAGTAGACATAAAGCTCTTTTCTGGCGCCATTGCCGGGGAGGTGAGTGCTTGAAGGTATATCTTTAGATATTGCAATCAAATATTTTAGTTTCTTGTTTTATCACTAGTTTAGTTTATAAAAGAAACCTACAAAAAATGGAATTGAGGGTGCCTCATATACTTCAACTTTTTAATTTCTTTCATGAAAATAAGGATTCCGATAATTGTGCCAAAGTGTTAGAAGAAGAATGCATTAGAATTTTTGGCACTAAATCTTTGAATGATGAGCATGATTGCAATGTTGTTAGTATGAATTCTTTGAATATCCATAGTACTAATGATGATTGCACTAGTCGTGATGAAAATGTCTCTTATAAGCATGTCAACTTTTGTGGAGTGCATAGAGTTTGCAAGTACACACCAAATAGGGAAGATAGATTTTGCAAGAGGCATAAGTATTTAGAAACTAAATGTTTGCAAGAGAGGCTAGAAGTTTGTGCTGAAAATTTAAAATTTCTTTGCCATCCTTGTGAACTTTGCAATGAACGTGATCATTTAAATACCCAATGCAAATTGTTTCATGATCGAATCGTGTCCAAAAATTGTGATGACTTGATTTCCCTAGCACATCATAATGAACTTAGTTTTCTTATGGGTTATGAAGAAATCAAACGTTTAACTAAGAATATGCCAGAATTTGTCCTTGATAAAGTTCTTGATTTTGATCTAGAAGAAAGTTTTATGTATTGTGCGGTGAATTGCATTGAAAATCCTTATATTGCCAATTACATAAAGAAAAGAAAGCAAATAGAAGATGAAGAGAATACTAATGAAAGGGAAGAGACTTCCCAATATCCTCCTATTATTTCTTATGATGAATCAGGTAACAAGGAGGAGCTTTCTATTCAACCAATCTCATTAATAAGGATCTCCAGAAAGAGGATTAAACCCACACATGATGTGAAGAAGAAAAAGAAAAGACGGAGAAGCAAAGGTAAAAAGGTATCCCTCCCAAATTAT